TTCTAGAAACCAAGCTCTGGTGCCTAGAAAATAGGAGATAATACTTGTATAACAATCATAACTTCATGTGCTTGACACTCTGTTAGGGGATTAATCACTGTGTTTATTTAAGGATTTCCATCAAAAGTTTCTACTGAGATCCAAATGATACCACTGGGCTGTAGGTTCATATGGCTTTCAGTGGTAATTAATTACTTTATTATAATTTTTTTAATCTATATACCTTTCCAAACATCTTGCTCAAAACAAAGGCAGTGTAAATTTTCCCTGAGCTAAAACTAACACCAACATACAGACCAAAATGATGACAACATTTCTACCTTAATTTTTTAAGAAGTGTTTAACTCTCATTATAAGCATCATAGTAGCATCTCAAAACTGCAAAACTTCAGGTTTGCATACTGAGGATCAAGTGCTGCCTAGTAGCTCTGTACCACATATTGACTCCAAAGTCTCGTTTTCCTTCAGAAACTAAAAAAATCATCAAATGACCATAGCTGACCATTTCTCTAAATCACAGGGTTTTTAGTTTGTGTGTGTGTGTGTGGGGGGGGGGGGGGGGGGAAGTTTTGTTTGTTTTTTTGTTTTGTTTTGTTTTTTGTCTGTTTGTTTTTCTCCTTTCAAAACTGTCTTGTGAGGCTGGGGATGTGGCTCAGTGGTAGAGAGCTTGCCTAACATTCATGAGGCCCCAGGTTCCAAGCCCATACCATACACATACAGGCAAGCACACACACCTACACTTGAAACAGAAAACAAGAGAAAAACGAAAAAGTAATTTAAAGGAATGCGAAACTGGAAAAACCACCATAGATACAAAATTACTCCTAAACTAAACACAAAACACTCAGTGTTGAAAGTATCTTAATTATTATTATTTTTTTAAGTACATAGCCTGCTGGCTTGCCCGCACATACTGAAAGAAGTTTAAATATTAACACTTTTTCTAGGAAAAAACAAACTTGTTTTCAAACAGGATTATTCTGAGTCATCTTCCTCAATTTCCCTTCACCTCAAAGCTGATGTCAGGGAGAAGCTACTAGAAAACTGCAGCAGTAAACAAGAATTTGGAAAGGGGAGGAAGACACAATGGTTCCTAACAGCACAAGAAGGTAGCGTTTCTCTTCTAACACAAAATTTTTATCCAGTTGTTTTCTTCATCTTGTGAAAATATATTCAGCTCAATGTGCGTGACAGGGATGAGTTTTTCTTTATCTTTCAATATGACATTCTGTATGGTACTTTATAGACCAAGACTGAAAAATCGGGGTCCCGATATTGAGAAAGAAAACAACAGAATTGCTGACTGAAATCTCATGTGTTAGATGGATCTTGAGAGTTTTCCAGCCTGGACTTGCCAAACTCTAGGGGTAAACTTCAGATAAGCATCTGAGCTCTCGGGTGTTTAAATGAACCTAACCTCCCAATCTTTTTGAGGTTTGCCGATGACTAGTAATTATATTGTCATTTAACAAAAGTATCTGCATTAAACCAGAGATGTTACATTAATGGTTAAGTTCACATCCATTAAAAACATCGAGCATCTACAGGGCACCCGGGGTCTCCATGATGTGTGGAAGGGGATGGAAAGTAATGTAGGCTAGAGACCATAAATCAATGCCTAAATACTACCTGTCAGGTTTGGAAGTTATGCTAACGCAGGATGTTTTACTTCTTTCCAGTGTACAGAGGTCAAAGAGGAGGTACAGATGTGTAACTTAAATGGAAACACGGAGGAAAACCCCCAAAGAGCAAGACAGTCAATGCACAAAACTTGAAGAAGGCGATTACATCTAAGTCAGGATTTTAATCACCCATCTCAAAGGTAAAGGCCAAATGCTTAGGTTTCCAGAGGAGGCAACAGGAGGACTGAGGACCCTAGAGCCTGTGACACTTTCTTCGAAGTGATTTTCGTTTTGACTAAAGTGTATATATGGTAAAATGGCTTGTCAATTCTCTCACTCACAGACCTGGGAAGTGAATAATATATAACACTTGGCTGCTTTCTAAAAGAATATGGTATTAAGCCCAATGTAATAAATAGGTCTTTTAAAAATTCTTGTGTGTATATGATTATTTTCCCCCAGGGTTAGATGATGCCAATTGGCTATATGCTAAAAGTCAAAGCAAGCATTTTTAATGGATGTAGAACAAAATTCAAAGTTAACATAAATAACAGATCCGTGAAAAAGTCACGTAAGAAAATTTCCAGTTCTCTTTTTAAAGGGATACACACAGCAAATGGTTGTCAGAGATCAGAGTTGTCTACCAAGAAGAAAAATGGAACCTTGGATAAAGATCCACCATAATCCAAAAGTGAGCAGCCACTGTCAGTATGCAAGACAGCAGAAGAGGAATTCTTAAGTGTCATGAATAATAAACATAGCCAAGCTAGGATCAGAATCAAAAACAAAGTTAAAATTTTTTTAAACAGCCATACTCAGAAAGGTCAGATTAAACTGAAAGGTAACAGGGGAGTTAAGTTGTCTGAGCTTTATAAGAAGAGCTAACAACAGACTCCATGTAAGATCAGTTTTAGGAGCTTAAGGACAGAGGTCAAGAACAGCCAGAACTCCATGTAGGACCAAGAAGTTTCTCTTACCCAGTTAAGCTGACCTCCACCATCGACATCCAGGTCTCATCAGTCAAGCTGTCTAGTGCCCAAGACTAGAAGGAAGAATACCACCTACCTCATAGGGGTTTTTTTTTTTTTTTTAAGTTTTAGGTTGGTCTTTGCGAAAGTTAGTAAGTCTGTGTGCCAAAACCTCTCTCCCTCAGTCTTTCTGCAGTCAAGCACTGGTAGAGTCACCAGTGGTGTCTCCCTACTGCCTACCAAACCAAGTCCAGGTCACCCACCATCTAACTTCAGTCTCTGACCTGTGCCAGATTGGGAGCCTACTTTCTATCCAAACCAAAAGCCCTGCTCTACTTATCCCACGTGTGCTCCATGAAGTCTGAGTCTGTGCCCTTGAACACAGTTGCACATTTTCCTCTCTTCATATGGCCCTATCCCTTCATATTCCAAATCTACAAGCCCCCTGAGGCTTGCTCAGATGTCACCTCTTAGACAGACCTTCCCAGATTCTGCATCTCCATCAATACTCCATTCTGGAGGCCAGATGCTTTGAGAAAACAACGTGCTGGTCTCACCAACACACTAATGGAAGCTTAAACAGTAGTATTGGATCTAAGAAAACATGCAGTCTTCAAATGAGAAGGATATGAGTCATCTTCCCTTGTTTCCCCAGATAATCTTCTCCATTAGACTCAACTCTTTTTGTATATGTCCATTTCTGTTTCTTCTTTACATCCCTCTCTGTGTTATTTGCAACTAAATGGTTGTCACTGCACTTTCAGTAAGTCTCTGAATTTCATGCTGATTTCTTTTTAATTTGGGGATGCCAAAACTACTAAAAGGAGGTGTTCCATAATGCTAAGCACAATGACCTTCAGCACCTTTGCACCCAGAGTGACGCTTGACTAATGATCTGCCTGATTAAGTTTGTACAGTGCTTGCTTTTCAAAGTCTGGGGGCGGGCAGCGAGGGAGGCAACCAGATTCAAGAACACCCATGTCCTCAGAAACAGATCCCCAGAGGCTCCAGTTCTGGCATTAGTAGCCTGACACCCCAGCACACTTGACAATAAAACCTATTGTGATGCCAGGCAGCAGAGGATGAAGGAAATTTGAAAATCTGTCTAGAAATGCAGGAAGCAATGTAAGCAATGTAAGCAAAGCTCAAAATGCTCCCAACAATTTTTTTTTTAATAGAAGTAATCTGGTTGATTCCAGTAATGCTACATAAAACTGATTTTTAAGGGAGAAAACAATATTTAATTCAGCACAAGTATATCACCTGTGTAACTAGCTAGATACACTCAACTTATAGTTGAATTTAACAAGTACATGAAAAACCAGACATTACTATGAGCCGGAATGGTAGTTAGATGGGTGAATTTCTTTGGACTTTTTACCCAAACTAAGATAATTTGTTTAACAAGTTGTTCAAGGTTGTTGGTTTGAGGGGTGTTTGTTGATATTGTTGTTGTTGACACAGCTTTCAAATATGGCCATATTTACAAGACTAAGTGTTAGAACTTAGTCTTAGACATTCTAGAATTTGCTAAAATGTCTTTATCCTGTTTCTTTAAAGTGATACATATTTATAGATACTGAAATCATTAGCTTTCTTCTGAATGGCTCCATCAGCCCTACTTATATGTCTATTCCATTTTAAAAAGAAAGAAAAGAGATAAATAGGAAGGAGTCAATAAGCCCTGGTAAACTAATTAAACACAGTATAGAAAAGATGGCTGGCTCAGAGATGAGGGTAGTCTCCTGGCTCTTTCTAGGATTAAGAAAGCTTATGTTCAAAAAGACTTGATTTCTCAGTTCCACAAGAAAGACTTCTCTAAACTTGTATGAAGTGCAGAAATCCTAGAGTACAGTCCCAAAAGAGTGACAGACAATGGCTCATAAGCTTAGAGAATAATATCTTCAGTGGCATCACAGTGAACAGAATGTATTTAGTCTGCAGAAGAGGTCTTCAAGGCACCAAATAGGATCTCAACAGTCTTTCCTGAAATCAAAGTACATGAAGTGACATTGACTACGCTCAGAAGTGGTCGTCATGGAAAGAAGGAGTGTGTGAGAGAGAGAAAGGTGAACACTCCCGGAAGTGGACAAGGAGGAAAACTTGAGGAAATGAACATGGACCTCAGCAGAAGAAGCCAAGGCAAGCAAAGGAAGCAGTTATGGAAGAAGTAGAGGAAGTAGTAGGTCCTAAGAGAGCTTCCCAGGAACCTTGAAATAATCTTCCCTGGAGTGGAACCACCATGTGACCCAGCTACACCACTCTCAGTATTTAGCTTGAAGAATTAAAGCCATCTTACTACAGGGATACATGCACACCCATGTTTATAGCAGCACAATTCACAATAGCCAAACTGTGGAACCAGCCTCCGTGTCCATCAGAGGATGAATGGATTAAAAAAAATGTGGTATGTATATCCAATGGAGTTTTATTGAAAGAAAAATGAAATTGCATCATTTGCAGGAAAATGGATGGAACTTGAAAACATGATGTGTGAGGAGGTTCTCTTCAGCTTAGTACAGGTCCACAACAGTTCTCTTAGTACAGGTCCACTCAGAAGGTGAAGAACCATATGTTTTCTCTTATGTGGAAACTAGAGAAGAAAAAGGAAAAAGAAAAAAAAAAAAGAAAGAAAGGTCAGGGGAATCTTATGAAAATTAAAGGAGATCAGTAGAATAGGGGAAAGTAACCAGGGGGAAAGAGGAGGGGAAGGAATGGAGAAACACTAGGGGATGATATTGGCCAAATTGCATTGTTATAATGTTACGTGTACAAATAGGTAATAATAAAATCCCAACATTATGTACAATTGTAATGCACCAATTTAAAAAAATGTGAGGGAAAAAAAGAAATCATCTTCCCTGGGGGTCTTTTGAATCAATGTTTTCTAGTTCCATAACATTCAAGGATGAGATGTAACTCTTGTATGTATAGTAGAAATGAAATCCAGGGTTGCTCTGCCACTGAGCTACATCCCCAGTCCTTTTAAGTTTTTATTTTGAGGCAGGGTCTCACTAACTTGCCCAGGCTGGCCCCAAACTTGCAATGTTCTTGCCTCAGCCTCCTGAGTAGTGGGATTATGTAGGAGTCAGAAATCTGAGATTTAACCTGGTTCTGGCTCTAAGAACTCATGTCATTTAGAAAGACACTTAGTATCTTGAATATTAATGCCCATACCTTCAAAATATCCATCCTTAAAGAGTACTGTGAAACTAACGAGTACCATGCAAATCATGGTAGATTGGTAGGGCTACTGTTCTTAGAATAGCAATGGGATAAGGTAACAGCATACAGGTATACTTAAGTTTCCAATATCCTAGTCGTCAGGTGAGTGAGTAGTTAGAAGATGCTTTGTTTAAATACTGTGCTTCTTAATCACATTTCAGTTACTAAACAAACAGCACACAGTCAACATTTTATAAAAATGGCTGCCCATATGTTTGTTACATGGTGTTAAATATTCTGTTCATAAACACACTAACACATATGACTTCGAAATTTCAATCTTGACCTAAACTGAACTCTCATGAACTACAATGCAGTGTAGTATAACAAAACACATCACACCACATCGATCTAATAACTAAATAAAAAGATGTATGATGATAGCCAGAAGTTTAAAAATAAAGTCACAATTTATCAACTCAAGGAATCTAATAAGCAATATAATTAGGAACATACAGCTTTAAAATGTGGAATTTAAAATATACATAGATACTTCCTGGGTATTTTGTGAAGTATTTGTGCAGTAGAGGCTATTCTCTCATCTGTTTCAGTTTCTGAACAGCATTTAGGTGTTTTGAACTATAAGCCCAAACATTTTACCATTCACCCTAATTGTTCAAATGCAGCCTATGTCTGTGTTTATAAATCATTTAACGGTTGTTTTCCATTGGGGTAGGGGATTTGACTATTCTCCTCACATCTGCACCAGTCAATCAAAGTTACTTGGTAAGTAGCACATAGGTTTCTGAGCAGAATAGAGAATTCCAGGGAATAGAGAAATCACAATTTGGATGAGGAACCACTGTCTTGAGATAATTAACTCACACTATGTGAGAATAAGATATCACATTCCTAATACAGATCTTGGAAGGCTGTTCCCAGATGGCAGACTTAGCTAAATTGTACCAATATGGAGGATATTTAGCTCAAACAACGTAAGATAATTTTAACGATGACCTGGAGCTTCTTGGAATGTAGGTATTCTGCAATCACTAATCAACTCGGGTCATGTGCATGGACAGCTTCCCTGTCTCCTTCAGTCTGACCCAGGTAGAAAGTACCCGCATGGAAAACCACACTGGTCAGTCGGGGTGGAATTTCAGCTTCTGATCTTTCTGAACTCACTCTTTCATTTTCAGCGATTAGAAAATATTATTCCCTCTGCCTCAGGCACTCTCCACTACTGATTCCTGCCCTTTCCTTTCACAAGGTAAAATTCCCTGTTCAAAGTTCAGATTTCACCATTTATGTAACTCCTCTTCAGGGATCTGTTGCAAACCCTCCTACGGTGGCCTGAACGCCATCTAAATGGCCCCACTGCAATGAAGAACATATCCCCCAGCTCCTGAGAGAACTGTTGTGGACCTGTACTAAGCTGAAGAGAACCTCCTCACACAAGTTCACACCCCTTCCTTCCCATGATGACCTACAGCCTGTCTGGTTGACACAGCTCCCAGCCCCGTGCCCCAACTCTGGAGGGCACCATGAGTTTGGCTAAGGACTTTGTTGTAAAAGTGCTGCCCAACTTCTCCCTCTGCCTGTTGCTGCTCCCTTTGTTTCTCCTGCAGTTGCTGGGCCCAAGGGCACACCAAGATAAACTTCTTAAACATTAATCCCCATTTCAGGGTTGCCTTCTTAGCATTTACCACCACTGTACCAGTGTTTTAATTGCCGATTTATTCATCTCTCTCTCCCCATGGAAACCATAAGATTCTAGATAGCAGGAGCCATATCTCTAAGATTTGACTATTCTGACACCAAGAACATATGAGTTATCAATAAATACTTGCTGAAAGAATGCTCTGACTAATTAAAGAATGCAAATAAGCGCAATATTTATGTTCTGTATACTAGTTAGGGTAAATGCTCTTTGTTATAACAATTAAATCCCTAATTTACAGTTGTTTAACCTAACAGATCATGAGTTAGAAAACTTTTTCAGTAAAAGACAAGACAATAAATATTTCAGTCACCAAGGGTTATACAGTCTGTGGTAACTACTCAATTTGATTATTTGGCAGTACACAGTCAGCCATATATAATATGTAAATAATGGGCCTAGCTGTGACTCAATAAAAATTTATTTACAAAAGTTGATGAAGAGCCAAATTCACACTCACTGCCCATCATTGTTCAACCCTTCTTCTTGGTTATGGGGCATCTTTTCTCTTTGAAGGGATGAGTAGGTTCACATGGCTTCTCATTTGTGTGTCTGCCTTCCCCCCAGAATCTCAAAATCCTCTACTTTAGGGGTTATCAGGGAAGAGACACAGCTTCTCTGACCTAGAAATTAAACATGCAACTTTCATTTGTGTCTCATTGGCAACAATCAATCACATGCCCACACATCAGTGAAAAGAGCTGGGAGATGTGGTCTCTGGCAAGGTAGTGACCTCTCAGCAATCATTCCAAATGATCAAAGAGAAACATGAGTTTGTGGTGAACAGCTAGTTGTGCCTACTGTAGGAAGCAAATTTCTCCATTCTGATAAACAAGTTATACGCAGATGTTTCTATTCTCTTTCTTCTCTGTCCTAAAAATGTGTACCGTTTTCAAGAAATATATTATCCGTTCATTTATTTGTTCTTTCACAAAAGATTCACTGATGAGTCAAAGACATGAACTGCCTTTCAGAAGATAATATCTGTCTAGATAAACCTATTGAGCGTGCAAATGCAAAATTACCACAGTGATAAGAGATTTGGTTAGGTGATTCCAGAAGGGCTCAGCCAAGTCCTATGTGAAATGATCATTGAAAAGAATCGATTTAAAGAGCATAAAGGGAAAAGAGTATCTCAGGCAGAGGACGCAACACGTTCCTGCAGCCCAAGAGCAATGAAAAGCTGTTGTGTCTTAAGTAAGACAGTATCACGAAGAAACCTACACCTCAGAAAGATCACTTAGTTTCCACTGTTGAGAACAGCTTAGAAAGTGCATGAAGACCAGCTAGGAGGATAATGCAATAGTCTATGATAATGAGAAGACTATAGACTCTGGAAGTGATGGATGGATCCAAGTGATATATGGAAGGTGAAACCAAAGGCAATGATGATGCCGTATGTAGAGAAGGGTTAGAAACAGAGAAGAATTAAGTGCAACTGGTGCCACATGCAAAGAATAAGTAAGTTAAGGAAAGAAGTATTTGGGGACAAATGACTATTAGGCTCAGAGGAGAAAACCCCAGATTCAATTTTAGACACATTGAGTTCCAAGTACCTTCAAGATAGATATTCAGGTAGAGATGACAAAAAAAAAAAAAAATGTAATCATCTACAACCTGGCAATATAGGGTAACTCGAAGGAACGCTGACTCAGTGAAGAATGAGATATTGTTAAGTGAGTAGGAGGTGGGAAATGGAGATATTGAGTATGAAGAACCTTCTAAAGAAAATAGCCAAAGAAAGGGGAGAATGAAAGAGGGAGGTTCAAAGAAAACATTTTGAAATTATGGCGGAGGTCAATGTATCAAATACCAACAGAAAGAACCTTTTAGGGAAAGAGATTCTGAATATATAAGGAAAAGAAGGGATTGTGGGTAATGTAAGTTTCTCAAGAGGACAGGAGGAGATGGCAAGCAAAGATGGGGGACCTCCTCTAGTCTAACAGGAGGAAGGAAGACGAGTTTTTAAAATGTTTTCATGTGTGAATATTTGCATACCAGGACGCCGAAAAAGTCCCCTTCTGATAAGCTTTAATTTTATTTATGACATAGATCCAAGGTCATTAGCTGAAATAGAAAGACCAAGCTGGGATAGGAGAAGAGAAAGAGAGAACAGAGGTTTTAAAGGTGAAGGGCATTTGAAATGGTCGTTGTGGAAAATTGGAAGAACTTGCTGACCCAGGAAACATATTGGCATGACAGAAATATAAAAGCCCATTTGAAGTCAGTGACATTAATGTTTACCAATTTGCTTCAACATTTGACTTTTGGTTGCAACACCAGAGAATAAAGTCTCAAATAAACTGACAAGCAAAGACAGATTATCTAAGTGCTCGATTTCTGGTTTGTAGAAGTTGTCCAATCCGCCTTCCCTATTAAAAGAAGAGTGAAGGGTATAATATATTTTGAGCAAATACATAAATTAGAAATTTATTTTCACAATACTTTGTGTGATAAATATTACATCCATTTTACAAAGAGAAGACAGAAGATGAGGTTCATTAATTACAGCGTAAAGTCAGAGCAAGAGCCTGTACTTGTTCAACCCTGCCTTTTTGTTTCTCTTCCAAACAGAATTAAACCATATGTGAAGCCAATACTGATCCCAAAGAAGTGTCAAGCCAGCTGCACCAGAAGTTATCTAAGTCTCTACCTGAATAGCAGGCTAGCTGGTGCACTCTGCTTGAGACTACAGAATTAATCAAACT